TCCAGGAGCAATCCCTACAGTACATCATCTAGATCCCCAGCGGAGCTAAAACTTTGAAATACATATCCCCAACGGAGTTATAATTTCAACCCTTAATTTCCACCGGAGTTATACTTCAAACTCCCAATCCACAACGGAGCCAAAGCTTTGAGTTACAGATCCCCAGCGGAGCTGAAACCTACATCCCCAGTCGAATCAAGACTTCTAATCCCCAGCGGAAACCATCCAATTTCCCCAGCAAGTTTATCTTAAAGCCTGGAAATCAACCAGATACCAGTTAACTTTTGTCTCTCCCCAACCTGGGATTTTCCCCAGTAAGAGTGGCAGACAACCGAAAACTCCTGAACTTACTCTCCAGCAGTAAGCCTTCTTCCCCACTGAGTTTTTTCTCCCCAACAGAATAAAGATTCTCATTTTTGATTCCTCAGTAAAGTTGCCAGGGTCTTCATTACTCCCCAGTGAAGTCACCAAAGTTTTCATTGCTCCCCAGCATAATGAAGATTCTCATTCTTAGTTCCCCGCAGAAATCATCAGAGTTTTCCCTATTCCCAGCCGAGTAAGGATTCCCATTGTGTTACCCCCAGTAGAAGTCATCAAAGTTCTCTGGATTCTCCAAGCAGATTGCTCAAGCAGTATGGCATTGTTCGCAACAGATTTTGTCAATACTCCAACTTCAAGACATGAAGGATTCTCACATCCCCACAGAAGTTGTTAAGGATTTCTCATCCTCAGCAATCAAAGATTTTGAATCTCCAGCAGCGGTCAAGGATTTATTTTCCCCGGCAGCAGTCAAGGATTTTATTATCCCCGGTCGTTAAGGATTTATTTTCCTCAACAATACAGCAAATCAGCTTACATGCGCATACATTACATTCATATATCATAAACATTGATAAAACACATTTATTTCATCATACCTTTCATGCAACATAACCCTGTGTTTCAGCTAACATTTTACCCTTTTCAGGATAAGATTAACAGCTATCATTAACAATATTCAAAGATTTCAGATACAGTAAAGATACACTCCAGACACGGAAGTCATTCTATTACTCATTCAGAATTCAAGGTCAGATAAAGTCCAGATACACTCCAGACACATAAGTCATTCTGTCACTTATTCAGACTCTAGTTCAGATACGCTCCTGACACGGATGCCATTCTGGCCCTTATTCAGTTTTACTATACATATTAGATACGCTTCCCACGAATCGTGTTCTACGCCTCCCACGGTTGGTCCAAAAATTTGATTCTGATTTCATTAATTCACGTACCTTTAGTGCTTTTGATTGCCATATACATCTTTATCATCATGTTTGCAAGCTAATCGTTCTATTCAATTGCATTTTTGATGACTATATGTGAAACTTCCATGGATAGGGTTTTGTGTTCTTGTTTAGGGCTTTTTTATGCATACAAAATTTGGCGTTAACTCTGGTACCATGATACTCGTGAGGATGATACGAGTTGATTGGTACCAGCCATGGTAATTTATCTTGAGCCTACGCAATTTTGGAGATGGACAAGGTTATACCTACAACAAGCGTCTGTAGGTAAAAGCTTGATTTGCTAAGGCGACGGAGAGAGGAAGAAGAAGCTGGTGTGGCAACGTGTGATTCGCTTATTTGAATTTCACGCGTTGGGTTGGCTCCATTAGCTTGTTTTTGCATATTATATTCTGTTTTATATTACTTACAAGTTAACACAATAGCTTATATGGTTGGGGCGAAGGCCTTTGATGCACACGTCCTGGGTTTGATCCCAGGCGTGTGCATTTTATTATTTTCTTGCTTATTCCAAGCAGATCTCATGCAATGCAGTGGTGTATGCCTACCATACGCTCTTGTGTTCCACCATCAGATCAATCAGCCAGGTGGATCCAACACTCAGGTAGCAAGAGGCCCACCATACGCCTCAAGTCAACAGCCATACTGAATCAAGCAAAGTCAAACGGGCTTGGATCATTTGGGCTCAGAATTTCAACAGCATACCCCCCATAATTGCTAGCACAGGCCCATCATTCTTTTCTTATTTCTTTTATTTTATTTAATTATTTTAATATTTATTTTATTTACTATTAATTCAAAAATTAATCTTTTTATATAATCATAAAATCAAGACTTCATAAAGAAATTAGGATTTTTTTTATTATCAAAATTAATTTAATTTAGTCTAATTTAGGGAAATTGTAATTTATTTTCACAATTAAGATTAAATTAGAAAATTAGGTTATCTCTTGATTTAATTTTATTTTTATTTTCTCTTTTTTTCTCAAATGAATAAAAATACAAAAAATAGGTTTTTTTAGATTAAAATCAATTTATCTTTCTTAATTTAAAATTAATTAGAGCTAGGATTTTCTTTTTAATTTAATGATTTCTTTATTTTCTTAAATAACAAAAACATGACGAAAAAAATATTTTTTTAATCAATCGCAATTAGGTTTAGTCAAGGGTCAAAACCCTAGTTGTCTCGTACTTAATTTATCGCGCGCGTTTATTATTTTTGCCAATATTTTTGTAACTGTTCATGGTTTGTAATAGTTTAATCTAGGGCTTTTTACTTATCGCTTTTTTCCGGGATTTTGGCTATGTAATTAATCCCCCTCCCCGAAGACTTGTAATAGCGTAGATTTACTTTCTCGCACTTTTAATTTCTGCAAATATTTAAACTGTTTAGATGTATGCTAATAGGATTGTATGACAAGAATGCATGATAAATTAATACAGTTAGAAAACCCTAATGTGCAAAGATAAATAAGTGAAAACAAATCACTCGCACATATCACTCTTAGGGTATACTCTCACTTCAGTTGCGTTCGGTAAACGATCATTAAGTATAGAGTGTCTTAGTGGTTACCCTCCTGTCTAAAAAGATCAAATGTCCCGTTCGAATGTTACCTTGGAAATGTTGCCTCGAATATGATCTTAAGACTCTAGGGTTATTACTAAGGTGTCCTAACATTGCTTTAGTGATCATACGTCCCTTTCGAATTGACCCTTACCATGCACGTGAGGGGTGCTAATACCTTTCCCTTGTGTAATCGACTCTCATACCCATTCTTTTGGTCGCAAGACCTTGATTTCTTCTTTCTCAAGTTTTCTTCGAAGTTTTCCTTTCCCTTCTGTAGGATAAATAAATATTGATGGTGACTTCATTGTTTGATTATTTTTCCTAGTTGCTTCAGGGAGGTACCGTCGGTTCAAGAGTATTATTGTAAACTGAGTTGTAGCATTATATATTACTTGTAACATTATAAACATAATTAATCACATAAATAAAAAAGAATTATAGTTGCTCTATATTTGTAGAGACAAATACCATTGACCGAATTACATTAATAAAAATGCATCGTGTTCATTATCTTTTAATATTGTTTCTCTTTAATTTTCTATTCTGATTGTTGTTCTAACACTCTTTTATCTCTCAGCTTAACATTTTTCTGGTGCTTGTGGCCCAGTACTCTTTTAATTTCTAAAAAAAAAATCTTTTTTTGGCAACCAGTAGAAATGTTATTTTTTATGGGAATTTCTTAAGCCACCTCAGGTGGTTGAAAAAGACCTTGTGAAATTTCAAAAATGCCCTTGAAAAATCGAAAATGCATTTCCGATCCGCACCCAACACACGTATATTTCTTTCGTTTTTGAGATACACCCTCATTTACGATTTAATTGATTCCAAAAATGCACTTCTAGAAATTACCAAAAATATACTTCCGATAGATACATCAATGAGGGAGTGGCCATTTTGTTGATGGTTATATTAGTGTGGAATTTTTTTTCATTTTATCTTTATGGCCTACCACGTGTCACCAAGGGAGTGGCCATTTTGCTGTGTTGAAAAGTCAATAGAGAGGCAGCTCGATCGCCCCATTCGCTGCCACTGCATCTTTGTATTTTTTTCTATTTATTTTCTAATTGGTCTTAGTCAGTTTAAATGTATGTTAGTGATGTGTGTACCAGAAGTGCATTTTCGGAATAAAGTTTATCGTAAAATGGGGCGAATTTCAAAAAACGAATGAATTTTATGTGTGAATGCATCCCGAAATACATTTCAGATTTTTAAGAGCATTTTTAAAATTTCACGTGATGCGTTAGAAAAACACAAAATGGGTTAAGAAATCCTCTTTTTATTAGGCCAAAATGTGGTTCGATCCAATGAGTGACCCAATCTGCGTTATCCAAATCAACCCACGTATGACCTCATACCATTCATAACTTGTCCAACCTATTTATTTCCAGGGTTGATTGTGTGTCAAATTTCACATAAATTCGATTTGATTCGAACAAGATTTTGACTGCAAATTCGATAAAATCCATCGCATCCATCCCTAATAAATAGAGGTCAAATTTGGCGGGGGGGGGGGGGGGGGGGGGGGGGGGGGGGGGGGGGGGGGGTAATGCCGATCGAAATCACTTGAACTTTTAATCAAGTTGCTATTAACCATAGTTTACTATGAAACATTTATACAGCTCTTCACCCTTAAAGTCCTCTTTTCCTTTTTAACACATACTTTGCACTTTTATTTATATATTCGTCATTTTCCCTTGTACACCACCTTTTCGCCTATGCATAAACATATGTTCAAACATATTCAAAATAAAAATTTGGAAGAATCATTTTAACCCTTTGATGTAGGGAAGTAATAGACATCAATGGAGAAAAATATAGTCACAATATCTATATAAATTTTAGTATAACCTCTTAAGTAAAAGGAAAAGATCATGAATATAATATAACCATGTGAATTTTTAAAAAATATACTTGTTCTTATGAGTACACTAAATATGTATTTTGTTATTTTATTTTTATTGTTCTTTTGTCTTTAATAATTTAACCTAATCTTTCTTCATTTAGGTGAACAACACATTATATCAATATTATGCATGTATTTCTTTTGAGGCTCATTTTCTAAACTCCACATTCTAAAAAAATTTAAAAGTGTTATTGATTATCAAATAATGATGTTGGATTCTACCAATTCAGAGGTGAAGGTTGATATGAGTCCGCCGCGGTCAACCAGTGGAATCAACGACGGAATTCTTCAAAGGTGGAAGAGGGAGGATTCTCTCAAGAGAGGCTCATTAGGATTGAGAGGAGTTGCTCTATTTTTCTCTTTGACTTCCTTCCTCCTCATGGCAAGTAATAACCATGGCAACTGGCAACATTTTGACATGTTTCAAGAATACAGGTAAAAATATAGTCACAAACACAGTATATAAAATAAAATAATTGTGACCATAATTTTTCAAGAAAAATATTACAATATTAAATAATTTTAAAATTTTAATTTTTGTGTTTTGTTGAAAATGGAAATTTAATTTGTATTTTTTATAATTATTTTAGGTATTTGCTTGCGGTAGCACTAGTGTCTAGTTTATACACTGGAGGGCAAGTGTATCGTCAAATTCATGAACTTTCAAGTGGGAATAATTTGTTTAGGCCTACCACTGCAGCTTTGATTGATTTTCTTGGAGATCAAGTATGAGTGTTCTTATTTTATTTTTTTTATCATATGATTTTAATAATTAATATTAGTAAAAATATTAAATTTTATCTACTAATTTAAAAATAATTAATAGAAAGAATTTTTTATTTTAGGTGATGGCATATTTGTTGATATCATCAGCATCAACATCAATTCCTGTAACAGATAGAATGAGAGAACATGGAGATACTCTATTTACAGACTCATCAGCTGCAACCATTACTATGGCTTTTTTTGCCTTTCTATTTCTAGCACTATCATCCATCATATCAGGATACAAATTATCAGCCCAAACTTAGTTGAATAATGTTTTCTTCTATTATGTTTTCTTTTTCATCTATTTATTTTTTAATAAAATACATTTGTATGAAAATTTGTCTGAACAATTGAGTTTATGAAAATTTGTCCCTTTTTAAGTTTTTGTGTATGCTACAATGAGATGTGAAACTGTAGTTGTTATTAGGGATGGCAACGGAGCAGAGGCGGGTTTAGGCATATTTAGACCCGCGTCCGTTATTCAGATCCGCAACCGTCTTTAAATTTGGTTAGAATTAATATTTGTTCTTCAGTCTCTGCTTCTAATAAGAAATGAGTTTTTCCGTATCCGCCTGAATTTTTTTTTTAATTTATACTTTTTTTAATGAAAATAAAAATCAATAAATAAATTAAATAATTGATTATTTTAAAAGTAATATTGTTATTTAAATTATATTTTAAAAAAATAATAATAATTCTAATAAAATAATATTATAATATTAAAAAATGTAAATAAATAATAAAAATATTAAAAATAAATTAAATTTAGTCGACGAGTGTGGGTGCAGAGCGGGAGTATTAGCATCACCCGCCCTACCTCCATCCCCGTAAATAAAAATTGAATTTTCTTCGTACCCGCATCTGCTTCCGATTAAACAAGATTTTCCCAACTAATTTCAGTGTAGGGACAACCGGATTTTCCCTACTTGTTATTCTTAGATTGAGCTAAATTAGTACATGACTGTGGTTACTTCTTATTCTACATTTTGAATATATATATATATATATATATATATATATATATATATATATATATATATATATATATATATAACACAAAATCCTTTGCAGTTATTTAATTGTCATAGCAAAATCTCAATCGTTGATTTGAGTTCAATTCAAGTCTAATGGATAATATTTGTTTGCATTAATCGAATGCCCGCAAAGGATGACAAGTAATGTTCTAATTCTAAATTATAAATTCTCCAAGAACTTAGCTCTTGATCAATAAATTTCTTATTACTTACATCCTACGGAAAATTCGAGTGTGATTTTGGTTGCTCTTCCCTTAATATTAAGCATCTATGAACCATGGAGACATGCGATGAAAAGTATTTTTCTCTGCAATAATAAACTCAAATTTATCAATGGAATCTTACTTCAACACTCTGTACCCGATAGTGATTTATTGTTTAAGTGTAAGTTTGTATTACATCTAATATGTTGAATGATTATTTATGGCGATTGTTATGAAAAAAAATGTAATTTTAGATCGTATGATTTAATCTATTTATTCAAATCTCTATTTGAATCTAATTGAAATAATTATCATATTGTTGATTAGTTAATTCATTATTATCTGTAATTCCTTTATTATATGAACATTAATTATATTGTATGATTTCTTTAATTCGCTTTTCAAAACTTTCGCTCCCGTGTTTTTAACTGATTTTAAAAACAATTTTTAATTTGAGAAAGGTATATTTACCCCTCCCCTTCTCGTCTGACTATAAGCAACCACCGCCATTTTTCGATTTCCAACGGTTGCAACCACCTTCTTCGAACCGCCTACATGTGGTTTAGATGTTTTCTATCAACCTCCTGGCTACTTTTACGACTTTTTTCTGCAATTTCGAAATATGTTTTCTTTCTCTTTATTACTAAAGATTTTAAGGCATACTTCAACAATCTCTACCTTAACTTGAAATTGTGGCGATGCCAATTTATCAATCAACCACCTTGATTCTTTCTACCATGTTGAATCACTATTCAATAACCTTGATCAAGTTCAAGCCACACTTGAACCTTGATCTTGCCACTCGCATCCAGTTTCTTTCAACCACCTTTTCCTACTTTAGTAGTTTAACAAGCCCAAAATTATGTGACTTCAATCATCTTTGACTCCACCTGCTTTCAAATGCCTCCCTGAAAGTCCTTGTTTTTATGATTTAAAACCCTTCAACCACATTCAAATATTAACATCCAGGGCCAACACAATCTTCCCTATGAGATGGCACTACAACAAATAACACATTTCATGATAGAGCTTTCACGTCATCCAGAAAAACAACGAGGTATTTAGCCTGGGCGTACCATGTTTTATATATTTTTTAATTATAAAAATAACAATTTACCTCAGTTTCTAATATATCCGACGAGTAAAACTGATATGGACGTGCTTCAAGTCCAAACTTTTGCAGTTCATATTTTATTTTGATTATAATTGTATGCTAAAACAACTAACCCTTTAGTTTTTCGATATAACCGATGGATCAACTAAATGGATTTCACTATAAAAGTAAAAAGATTTTACCCTAATTCTTACTTATTTGTAGTCGCTGCAAACTCGCAAACATTATTCTTAGAGATGGATTACAAGACAGAAAAACCCTCAATATTCTTATAGAATGAAAGATTTTTTATGCCCTTGCAATTTATCTCACATAATGGTGTTGATGTTGTTGTTGGTGTTGTTGTTCTTGTTGTATTTTTACTCATTTGATAGATTGCAAGTGCAGAAAAATTATTCTTGATTCAAGGGGACAGTGAAGGAAGCTTCATTATCTTTTAAAATTTTACACAATAAAGGGAGGTTAACTAATCGGATGATTCATATCAGCAAAGATATTCATTCAAAAGAGCAAAGATTTGTTTTAAACCATTTATATTAATATTTTGATTAAACAATGTAAATAAATAAAAAACCTTTTCACATCGGTTTTAAAAAAAACTAGATGATAGCTATAATTAGAAGATTTTATACCTCGGTTTTATGATAAAGTCGAGTGGTAAATTTATCAGATTTTACTATAAATACCTTTGTTAAACAAATTTTACCTTAATTCTAACTAATACGTAGCCACACCTGATAGAGAAAATATTTACCACTGTCCATTGCCATGAAAAGTTTGATCTAGAATCTCTGAGATGGATTACAAGTGCAGAAAATAAAATAACTTATCCGAAGTTGGATAAGTTATGGAGTACTTTTTGGATATGCAACATAAAGGTATGCAACAAAATTTGGATTCCACCAAAGATCTATTGTTGAAAACACTTTCTCCTTTACTTTTGTCGACCAAATTCAGGTACGCTACCAAATTCCTTCTCTATAATATTCAACGTTCATACTTTAAAAATAATGATGATTGATGATTGTGTGCGGTTTACTATTAATTTGCAGAAATGGGTTGAATAAAGGATATGCTTTTGTTAATTTCACTAAGCCTAAATCAGAAGTGGGAATTTATGTAATATTGTATTTTAATATTCTTTGTAAATAATATAACTTTTAAAAAAAATAAAAATATCTTGCACCTCGCTGATAGTGGATTTCCTTCCTGGCTTGGTAGTCCCCGTAGTAGGTGAGTTTTCACCGAAATGGGTTAACAATTCCTTGTGTTTTTTACGTTTCTGTACTCTATCCTCCTGCACAATTTTTCTGTTTTTTTAGCAAGTTTGTTTGTTGTCATCAAATGTCATAACATATGTTGTGACATTGTGTGTTGTTAAGACATCAGTCTTGACATTTGATATTGTGTGTGCTAGAATTTCAATTGGCATCAAGAGCATGCACCCTATTTGGTTCACTGGGTGAGATTCAGGGATATATTTTTTGGCACTATGGAGAAAGAAGGAGGGTATAACAACAGACCACCTATGTTGGATAGTTCAAACTATGACTGGTGGAAGGTCAGAATGGTAGCTTTTCTGAAATCTATGGATAGCAGAGCATGGAAGGTTATGTTGAAAATATGGAAGCATCATGTTGTGAAGGAAATTTTCAAAGATAGAAAAGATATTAAAATTGACACCATAAAACCTGAAGAATGGGATGAAAATGATGATAAGGAAGCCATTGGAAATTCCAAGGCTTTAAATGCTCTATTCAACGGAGTAGACAAAAATGTTTTCAGTCTGATTAATATGTGTTCATGGCCAAGGAAGCTTGGAAAATTCTCAAGATAACTTATGAAGGTACCTCTAAAGTGAAGATTTCAAGACTTTAGCTTCTCACTTCCAAATTTGAGAACTTAAAGATGAATGATGATGAGACAATTCAAGAATATCAAATGAAGATTATTGAAAATGCTAGTGCATTGGGAGAGAAAACGTCAGAAGCCAAGCTGGTCAGAAAGATCATTAGGTCTTTGCCTAGAATATTTGACATGAAGGTCACAACAATTGAAGAAGCTCAGGACATCAACAACATGAGGGTTGATAAACTTATTGGGTCACTTCAAACATTTGAATTGGCTATTGGTGACAAGGCTGAGAAAAAGAACAAAATAATAGCTTTTGTATCCAATGTTAAAGATGATAAAGGTAAAACTGAGCTGGAAACTTGTGAAGATCTGTCTAATACGATTGTACTACTTGGAAAACAGTTCAACGGGATTATAAAAAGTTTGGACAGAAGAGGAAGGCCAAATTTCAGGAACATCTCATCTAACATCAGTAATGAGGAAAGTTTTCAAAAGAATGTCATGCCTGGAGATAAGATCGATCAAAGCAAAGGAATTCAATGTTATGAGTATGAAGGTTTTGGTCACATCAAACCAGAATGTCTCACTTTTCTCAAGAGGCGGAAAAAAGGTTTTTCTATGTCCTAGTATGATGATGATGAATCAAAAGATGAGGATAAGAATGAATCTGAAAAACGTGTGTTGGCTTTGTCTGGAAGATGGGCAGGTGAAGTGAAAGATTATGATGATAATGTTCTCCATGAATATCCTGATATATCCTACAAAGATACTTGTGAAGCAAATAAAAAAAATAAAGGAATATCATAGAAAGGTCATAGTTGACTTGGAAAATGAGAATAAGAATATTTTATATCTTGTATCTCATATTCAAAGTAAGGTAACTCTCCTAAATTCCAAGATTAATAACTTGTCAGTCTCATTTAAAAATTTGGAGGATAGAGCGGCTGTAATAAAAGAGATTGGAGAATTAGAAGGTGACTATCAAGTTGATAATGACCAAAGAAGAGTGTATGTGGTGAAGGTTCTTCCTACTAAAATAAAGAAAATAATTAACATGT